CAGGTTTTCCAGCTACGTCCATGAACATGTTCTTCGACTCTCACCTTGTTTGAAACCCCCGGTTCTCAGTGTCCACCTTCCGTTTTGCCATTTTTGATGGGTATCTGAAAGCTAATGTCACTGTTATGGGAACGACTGCTAGACGAATAAATATTTAAATAAAGCGGCCGACTGCTTGGCGCGTCACCGTTGCATTGTGGGAAATGTAGTTTTGGTGCGTGTAAAAGATCTGCCGGCTCTCGGCTTGCTGCGGTCCGCGGGCCGGTTCTAATAATAAATCAATATCATCCCAGGGGCCACTGAAAACATTCTCGCGGGCCGGATTTGGCCCGCGGGCCGGCACTTTGACATATGTGTTTTAACCGATACTATGCCAAGAGATATGAGTTTTTTTCCAACTTCACTGTACAATTTTGCAGATTTTTCATTCATCCCTTTTAATAGCACTTGTCCTCATTAGGATTGTGGGTGAGCTATCGCGTATCCCAGATGATTTTGGATTGTAGACTGAGTACCACCTGGAATGGTCGCCAGCCAATAACAGGACAAACAATATTTCAAACCAGACTCACACCTATGGATAAGAAACTTTAATTAACATAGCCGGCATATTTTTGGGGAAAAAAACTCAGGTAAGCATGGGGAAAGGATGCAAGCTCCACACAGCCCTTACCTGAGATTGAACCCCGAATCGCAGAACAGTGAGGCAGACATACTAACCACTAGGGCCCCATGCTGACCTAAATTTCCATTAACCATATTCCTGAATATTTCCATGCAGAGTTCCCAGAACAGATGAAAAAAAATCATCTTTATCATTTACTGTCTCCTTGCGAACACTAAGGTCTAATAAAGAGAGGAACATTGCGATACCTACACAGCAAAAAAAAAAAAAGAATGCTTTAAGCACAAGCTTGGCTGTACGTATTCTTATAAACACAGTAATGATCTGCTTTTATAACCTTGTTATTCTTTCATGCACACTTGCAGGGTTACGTTTTCAGTGTTGTTTATCACAGTGAATCACACTCAGTGGTTTTGAATTAAATACTCCAAAATGTACCGGGTACTCTGTTTTTTTTCCATCCTGTTCATGAGGATGTTCTAAAAACAGGCAGTGACAGAGTTGTGCAACATAACTCTTGTGACAGGAAGCGGTGCTCTGCTGCATACATCCTGAAATGCAGCGTAAAGCTCAAACACAATAGTTACCTATTTATCTTATCCATCAGAGATGCTGGTTTCAAATGACTACCCGTCACACTAATGCTAAACATGTCAAAGCTTTTCATAAAGGTCATCCTGTTTTCAGATGACCCCTGAGTGACTCGGAGATTGAGAAAAATACTTGAAAAGAAACAGACGGCCTTTGGGACCGACTCAAACATCAAGCACTCCGTTTCCATCAAAGCTTGCAGAGGTGACTGTGTTTTGTATCATCAAGCAGGTCAGGAGCAGAATCCGATGGAGGAGAGCCGTCAGACTCAGCGCGCCGTCGAGATCGTCTCATACAAGAGAAACGAATAGTAGAGGTAATTTCAGTTCTCCTAATAGCACAGGCTGTCAATATATTTAGGGATTTTTTTTCTTCCAGTTTTCCTCCCACATTCCAAACACATGCACGGCAGGTTAATTGAACACTAAATTATCCCTAGGTGTGATTGTGAGCATAAGAATCTTCAATGAACATAGCATGCATATTCTTGGACTGTGGAAGGAAGTCGGAGTACCAAGCGAAAACCAACACAAGCACGGAGAGAACATGCAAACTTCACCACTCAATAGCTTGGCCAAAATTGTCATGTTAAATGTCACAGTCGGTCTATTGACATCTCCTCAAAACCTAATTCCATCTTGGAGAATGTGCAGAACAAAATATTTCTGTGCTTTTGGTAAAGTTCTGTACACGATTGCAATGCAGGAGGAAATCGAGGAGCTGCAGCAGAGACTGGCAGAGCTAAAGGATCGCAGTCGATGTCTAGACCAGCAGATCCAGCAGGAGGAGCAGCAGATGGAGGCTGAGGAGCTGGAGGGATCCGTGCTGAGGAGCTGCAGCTCGGCCCAGCTGAGAGACATGAGCCGAACACTTCATGATCTCGTGATGTCTGAGAACCGCATCCAGATGTCTGTCTCTCTTCCTCCCTCCATGCTCAGGTTAGATTAAATGTATCAGTGCTAAAATACAATAATGTCGCTTCAGTCAAATGTGAGAAGCTCAGTTTGTTTCCTTTCACAGTTGCAACAATTCCTGCAGTACTGTCAGCTACCTAATGAAGGTGCTAGAGAACTGTCAGTTGTAGTGACAGCTCAGCAGGCAGTATATTGTACTGTATTTTTTTCATTACCAAAAGCCCATGTTGAGTTGGTTGCATGTTTGTCCAGAGCTTTAATCTTTGCCTTCCTGCTACATTCATCTAATATTCATAAAACTGTTTTTGGATTGAGGTTGTTTACCAGAATAGAGCATGTCGCCACAAACAAGTGCCTTGTAAAGAGGAAAACAGGAGTTGGGTTGCACATATAGATTTCAATAGCGACATTCACCACTAATTCACAACATGCACTGTATTTAGTTAATAAAATGTGGCAGCACTGGAAAATCCAGTGAGGCGCATCACGGTCCCAAACACGCAAGACCAGACCTGCTCTGGCACACAAATGGAGATGCGTCTGTATTTATGCCGATTGCAGTCTACTTTCTGTTACCAAATTATCAGGTGCGTTGTGGGCGGGGTAGTTCTGTGCACCGGAAGACCCAGCGAGGCACATCATGGTCCCAAACACGATAGACTAGACTTGCTCCGACACCAAAATGAAGATGCACCCTTTTAAAAATGAGACTCGTCGAGAGAACGTATAGTGACACAACTCTTTACATCCCCTACAACTCCTCCTCTCTCACACCTGCTCGACACTGCTCCGAATGTTCATGTTTTTCATCAGATGCAAATGATTACTTTGCATCTCTAATGGTAATAGCTCACAAGCCGGCACTCTGAGGATGCCTCTCTGTCTCAACACTTGTTAGAAAGACATGTAAATTGTACTTATCACCTTCCTGGTGGCGTGATCCACCATCACTGGCATAATTTAATATCTGACATACTGTCACCTCAGCCAGAATGCGTTTATTCTCAAAACTGATTGAAATTTCCAACCAAGATTGGGCATTCGGCTGCAAATCTCGGTGTGCTATGTTTCAGGTCAGCAAGATGATTGTGTTGCCGTTTTGCATTTATGAGGGGGGAAAGGGCAGGTCATGCCCATCGAGATGTTTTTTTCTCGTTTGGTGAAAGATATTCACCTTGCTCCTACGAAAAGAAGACTGGCGGTTTAGACATACTTCACCACCGTTGAACATATATATTTTTTAAAAGGTTCACTAATTCTTAGCAATATGACCACTGTCTCTTTGATTACAAATTTTATGCTGCGTTTTATCAGCTACTAAATACTCTCATTACTTTCACAATTAAAAAATGCGACCTTACAGTTTGTTAACACTCATCATTGATTGAAATATCATTCAATGATTCACACGCTTATCAGCAGTAATAGGTCAGTCAACAAAGCCCGTGTTTGTCACCATAAAAATCAAAAGAATGAGTCACTAAAATGTATCATGCATGCTTGATAAGTTTGTGTCATTGCTCACAAACTTTGGTCTGTGTAAAATTCTTCTTCAGTCTCGAGAGTGATCACAAGTGGGTAAAAAAACGCACGAAAACTTTTATTACAGCCTTAATAAAGTTTGAAAAGTCACTAAATGTCTTGAATGCCAACATTTTATTTAACCTTCAAATGTGAAGATGTTAGATGAAATCATTTGTGGATGGAGATAACAAAACATGAAATTACCCGTTTGATTGTGAGGTAACATTTTTATTCCCTTTTGTAGACTTCAGGAACAGGAGCAGGCATTGAATCTATCCATCAAGGAAGCTACTGCCAAAGTAAGGCATATTTTTTATTTTTTTTTGGGTGGCGGGGGGATGAGTGAATGTGTATGAATTTCAATGAGTGGGATGTTGAAATTGAAAGGATGCGCTCTGCATCAGCTTCAGCTTGATAAATCCGCATGCTAAATGTCGGGGTTTGTATTCATGCAGTTATTTCTATTTGATGAGGCAGTGAACTCTCCATGGCTTTAGTGGAAGGGTCAGAATCAGCAGAAGATGTTGTTTTGAAAGTATCCTGTTAAAAATGCAGTGTATCTGTGTGTCATCTTTTCTGTGACAAAAAAAAAACAAAACAAAACAAAGAGAAGTCAAGAGTGTTCAAAGTTTTTAGTCACTCTTAAGTAAAACAGCATATACTGTACTAAACTAGTCCATGGGTCGGTTCTAAAAATAGTTTGTCACTGATTGGACCCCAAACACTAACGAATCTGGCGTTATTAGTGTCGTTCTAAATTGTAACGTCCTGGGGGTGATTAGTCAAGTCCCAATGAAGGGTACAATTTTGAAGGGTTGATCCTGGAAATGTATTATATTCATGTACTGTATATTGTGCTGATTTCACTCATTGGAAAAGAAGACCTATATCTTTCCAAAATAGTGAGCTGACATTTAGCAGGAGTAGCATCTCTCCCTTTACTGGTTAGTTATTTACGAGAGGTGAGGACTGCAGATCCGTGATTTCACTAAAGTGCGGCGGTAGAGAGAAAAAAAGTCATGCGGAGCTCTTCTTTTATGACTGACTGAGTGTATAGCTCCATTGTTAACCTATTTATTGTTGTTAAGTGGTATCTTGTCTCCATCCCACCATGAATACCAAGTCGAGAGGCATTGAATCTATCCATCAAGGAAGCTACTGCCAAAGTAAGGCATATTTTTTATTTTTTTTTGGGTGGCGGGGGGATGAGTGAATGTGTATGAATTTCAATGAGTGGGATGTTGAAATTGAAAGGATGCGCTCTGCATCAGCTTCAGCTTGATAAATCCGCATGCTAAATGTCGGGGTTTGTATTCATGCAGTTATTTCTATTTGATGAGGCAGTGAACTCTCCATGGCTTTAGTGGAAGGGTCAGAATCAGCAGAAGATGTTGTTTTGAAAGTATCCTGTTAAAAATGCAGTGTATCTGTGTGTCATCTTTTCTGTGACAAAAAAAAAACAAAACAAAACAAAGAGAAGTCAAGAGTGTTCAAAGTTTTTAGTCACTCTTAAGTAAAACAGCATATACTGTACTAAACTAGTCCATGGGTCGGTTCTAAAAATAGTTTGTCACTGATTGGACCCCAAACACTAACGAATCTGGCATTATTAGTGTCGTTCTAAATTGTAACGTCCTGGGGGTGATTAGTCAAGTCCCAATGAAGGGTACAATTTTGAAGGGTTGATCCTGGAAATGTATTATATTCATGTACTGTATATTGTGCTGATTTCACTCATTGGAAAAGAAGACCTATATCTTTCCAAAATAGTGAGCTGACATTTAGCAGGAGTAGCATCTCTCCCTTTACTGGTTAGTTATTTACGAGAGGTGAGGACTGCAGATCCGTGATTTCACTAAAGTGCGGCGGTAGAGAGAAAAAAAGTCATGCGGAGCTCTTCTTTTATGACTGACTGAGTGTATAGCTCCATTGTTAACCTATTTATTGTTGTTAAGTGGTATCTTGTCTCCATCCCACCATGAATACCAAGTCGAGTCTTGCTTACGGGCTATCAGGCGAGTCTGACGCAGTCGCACTTTGAGATTGAGAGTGACCTTGCATGCCCCTCATAGGTTTGCATTTCCCACTGACTGATCTCTATATACTGCATGTGGAAATTGCAGAGGCGACTGTTTTGTTTCAAATTAGCTTTCATTTTTTTGTACACCAGCTGTTCAAGAGTGATTAAAAAAAACAAACAAATCAGTTCATCAAACATGTTTTTCGCTTTCAAATTTGTCTGTCTCGAAATTAAATCACCAATTACATAAATGCCTTGTATGTTGGAAACAGCTTCTAATTTGGATGAAGCTTTAAATAGAGTTAGAAAAGCTTGACGGATTTTTATATTTCTGTGTGAAGAAGACCCCCTTGGAGATGCTCTTCCTCAGGAAAACCAACCCATTTGACAACATTTTCAAAGTCGAGCACAAAACAGTATCAGGTTCAAGAAAGAAACATAAAGGCGAATCCTCCTCCGTGTCCCTTTGAGCCATGAATGTAGTTCCTGAAAAGATGAGAGCTGAGTTGTGGGCATTGTGTCTGGCTGTCTCCTCTACACTCTATAAAAACAGGAGTTTAAAGGGCCGATGGAGGCCAGACAGGTTTTATCAGTAGCCATCAGCTTGCCATCAGCTCGCAAGAGCTGAGGTGTCACATCCCCGGTGACATTCAGTGCCTTTCTCCTGTCTGACATTACTATGGCACCTTTTATGGAGATTTCACATTTGCACACATGCGCATGAAAGGCGGAGAAGTCTTTGTCTTCCTAAAGGTTAGAGACATGCAAACCATCAGGCTCTGCTGTGTATTCAAAGAAGAGGGAGAATCGAAACGAATTGATGACATCTTGTAAGAATGAGTTGGAAAGGAACATGGCAACAGAGCTGGAAATGAACCGTGCATCCTCTGGGATCCACGTGCCTTTTAGTGACTAACCTCCCCCCTCCCTGCTCCTTTCTTTCTCTAGGTGGTTATGAGTCAGAAGCTGGGCAGCAGCCTCAGGAGGAAAGTCAGTGAGACTGAAACTCAGCTCTTAGCTTTGCATGAAGCCAAACTGGCCGCCATCTCAGGTGACTCTACCTTTCGTCCATTGTCATGCCTTCTTAGCTTAGAGTGGACCCCAAAACATTTTAGAAGCAATTAAGAAGTACCCCCTCAAAAAAATCTAGAATCTTAAAAACATGCCTCTTACATTGCACAAAAATCCAGAAGTCGAACATCTGCCATTCATGATTGAATGAAAGACTTCACCATATCTTGTAAGAACAGATTACTTTATGCATACTGGTACAGTATGTTTATGTGTCAGCTGTGGTCTGGTCACCAGCCAGTCTCCAGGCACACATACATTGACACTCACACCTATGGGCAATTTCAACTTTTCAATTAACCTAACATGTATGTTTTTAGAATTTGGGAAGATGCATGAGTGACTCAGAAAACTCATGCAAGCATGTGGAGAACACGCAAGGAAGCTTGTATTCGTACCAAGATCTTCTGAACTGTAAAGCAATAAGTCGGCAGTAATGATAAAAGAAAGGAATGGATGCTGGAAAATTAGCTGTGCATTTTTTTAATGTAAAACGGCTCACCTCAAAGCAGTAAACTCTCTTTGCATGTTCATCATATGGTTAATTTCAATGGTCCTTTTTATGTTACTTTCCTGCACGGTTAATAAAGGTTTTATGATGGCAATACTTGGACCCTGGAACCAATTCATTGTATTTCCATTATTTCCCATGGGAAAATGTATTCTTAATCCAAACACATTAGAGGATGAGCAGTGTCCTGGAATGTGCTTGACCTTAAGGGTTTTACTCTACTTATACAAGCTCCATTAACTTCATTTAATTACACCGTTAATGTAAAAGTCATTCATTAATGAAAGGTCTATGCAATAATGTGTTTCTGTGGCGCACTGCTGTAGGTAACGACTTCAGCAGTGCCAAGGAGCTGAAGGCTGAGATGAAGGCGGTGTACCAGGAGCAGGAGCGACTGGAGGCCCTGGTCAAGAGGCTACACAGTCTCAGCTCAGGGAGCAGCCAAGAGCTGGCCAGGATGAAGGAGCAGCAGCAGCAGCTCAGAAAGGAGCTGGAGCACAGGGAGGTGCAGCATGGTGAGTCTGTCTGCACTCAGATTAGACTTTTGTCCCCCGGAGGAAGGCTGTCTCAGGAAGAGGAAATAACGATAGGAAACAATAATCAAGCAGATTTAGCCTCCTCATTATTGTCGAAGACTCTTAAAAGTCAACAAGGCTATGGCAACCTATAACAACCTCCAGCTGCTGATAGTTAGTTTGGCACTTAGGCCAGTTTGTGGTTTTCCACAAAAAAAAGGGTCAGAACATACACAGATAAAAATCAAATGTTCTGTGTAAATACTGAGAACCAGGCATTCAACCACACTAATGTTTATCCATCCATTCATTCTCTACAACATATCCGGGCTTGGGTCGTGGGAGTAACATCACACACTAATGTCTGTCTTATATTTCTTTTTACAGTGCTAGCAAGTTGTTCGTAGAGTTTTCTGCATGAAGATCAAGATCATGCTGAAAAAAAAGCAATGCTGTTGTAATGATGTCTTGTTGATGTCATTGCCTAGCTAGCTAGCGGGCTAGATAGATAGATAAGTACAATGATAGGATGAATTATCCATCCATCCATCCATGCATTATCTGAGACGCTCATTCTCAGGCATGCTCGAGCCTATCGCAACCGTCTTTGGGCAGTCGGCGGGGTTCACCCTGAAGTGATTGCCAGCCAATCGCAAGGGTGAATTATAATACGGCTGTCACGTTGCCGTGGTTTGTTTGTTTGTTTTGTTTGTTTGTTTATTGTTTATTGAACATAAAAACATATACAGTAATAAATAGACAGAAAGTAAGGTAAGTAAAATAGTAAAAAGGAAAGAGAAATCAGTCATCATACAACACAATTATTATGTTCAAAGGAGTAGGAAGAAGTAAAAAACTTATCTAGTCCTACCCCAAGTTATGTATTTATATATAAATAGATCATTTTTATATCAATCAGAAAAGAAAGAAAGAAAGAAGGAAGGTGGTGGTGGACCCCAAAAAGCAGGCAGGAGGGAGGAGCAGGTTGTACCTGAAGAATTGTATTGATAAAAACACAGAAAACTAAATCCAAAAAAAAGTCCTAAAAACAAAACGAATCCAAAGTATCAAACAAAAACCATGACTGAAGCTCAAAACTAATAGTAACAGAAACATGACCTAAACATCATTACAGAACAAACATGACAGGAACCAACAAACAAACAATGACCCGACAATGAGTGGTCGGGGCGGGAGTCCTTTTATACAACTCATGACGTAATGACCAACAGGTGTGTCGCTGCAGGTGGAGCCCTACAGTGCCACCTGTTGGTCACAAACAGAACCGTGACGACGCCCAATTTATACATTTTGTAACTGCTGATATGCACGACATGAATGCAAAACAAAATACATAACAATGATACAATTACAATTATTAAAGGTTTGGCCACATGAACACTGAACAATTGTTCCATTTTTGAAAGGCACCCCCCTTTGGCAATGAAAACATCTTTTTAAATATGAATAGCAATATGAATCACTCTTTTAAGAGAGGTCCTCACTTATGTCGCTCCCTGCTGGGACTCTACATCATCAATGAATGGTGACTTTTCTCGCAAAGGAACTGAAAACTTGCCGTCTGTCTTTGGGGACCCTACATCAAATGAGTTTGTATCAGAACTGGCAGCTGTTAAGAGGAGGTGGAGTGCGAACAAGGGAAATACACTTTAGATTGTGTGAACTAGCCAATTACCTTTGAGTCACACGCTGCCGATATGATGTAGAAGCACTACGGGAGACCTGAATGCTGCTTAAAACAACCTTTTACTTACCTTTTTGGAGTGCTAACTATAGGGTTTGGCCTCTTGGCTTTGCGTTTTGATGGCACCGCCTGCAGTGCTCCTCCAATCCATCAGTCACAGGCAGATCTCTGTAAAGGTCACTTCTCTGTGTGAGGCGCTGAGGTGGGAGCATGAAGAGCGGGGGTGGGGAAAGTGACGAGACGCCAGTGCAGGTAGTGAAGCTATCGCAGCAGCCCCTACGTGTTCAATCAGACTTCTAATGTCTTCTCCTATCCAGATCATTAGTGACTACAGCCTGGCCATTAGTGTTGGGCCACTGTCTGCGCTTGAATGTGTGATCTCTTGACACTAGGGGGCACACTTTCATTGTTACAGGCTGCGATTTTTGTATGGTCCTTAACATGTCCATTCATTTTAATTATATTTCCTCATTATAATATCGTCAACTTGTGGCAATTAAAATGTAAAAAAACATAATTGCTCCTCGAAGACATTCGGGCCCACATCGATCACGAGACGAATAAATGACAACCCCAGCAATGTATATATCATACCATATCATGAATGCACGTGGCTCAGTATGCACATTGCAGCACTGAGGGCCACACAAAGAAGCCAAGTAGAATGTTCAGGCTAGACAAAGGAATCGGAATCAGGTGGATAACACATCACTATTTGGGACGTGATGGCGAGCTAATGACTGGTTTTTTGCCTTGCTCAAATGCTCAAGTGGGCGCACACAATATGGCAGCAGCAGCAATTTCTCAATGTGTTGCTGACACCAAGCTAGGGGCTCATTAAACTGTCAGCCAACTTGGTAATAAGGGTCTGGCACACACAAGGCGGAACCTGATAGTCCACAAACAGCATAGGAGCAGTCGTTGGCGAGAGAGGGTTGGAAATAATTTTTTGACTCAAAAGTCAAGGTGGTCACTGAGATGTTTACTGCATTTAGTGCATTATTAGAAGACTAGAAACATCCCATCACAATAAAAATGGATGTACAGTGCACCATTTAAGAACACTATATTCATGACAAAAGCTCTAGAGCAGGGGTGTCAAACATACGGCCCGCGGGCCGGAACCGGCCCGCAAGGAAGTTCAATCAGGCCCGCAGGATAATTTAAAAGTGAAAAAAAAATGCATAAAAGACACAGAATTAATATTTTAAATAAGGTGCAATTCATTGAGTATCCGCAAGGGGACACTGTTTTGATCAGAGAAAAAGACAACAGCAGCCTCAGTCCGTCACTGAGACAGACCCATGACAGCAGACGCTATCAATAGCACTCTCACATTTACACATTTAATAGCACTCTCCTTAATTTGTAAGGTGTAGGCAGGGATTACATTTAGATTTTATATGCACATGTAAATGGTTTAAAACTTCCTTTCTTTATAAATCTCGTTTAATCTTAAAGTGCATTACTATATTTTTCAATACCAATTACTTGTTAAAGTTTGTACAATCAGTGGGATCAGTTGCAATGCATATTTGTGAATGATAAAAGTAAATTGCACATTTGTCGAAGGAAATGTAAGGTGCTTCCTGAAATGTTTTGTAAAAGATATGTTCATTAAATTTCAACATTTTCCTCATGTTCTTGTGCTTATTTTGTATCAAAACAAAGGGAAGACAGATTGTTTTTGTTATTTATAGCAAAGTATGGTATCATTTTCATGGTCCGGCCCACTTGACATCTACCGAGGCCGTATTTGGCCCACCATGTGAAATGAGTTTGACACCCCTGCTCTAGAGCAAGACATTTAAGAAATGATTTCATCTTGTTGAGGGTCTGATCCATCTTCCCCTTCGTGTTCAGGTGTCAATCCTCTGCTTAGTGGGTTGGGCTGGAGGAGGGTTTGTGGGTGCGTTTGGTCATGTCAGCGCTCCAGAGCTGCAGCCTTGCCCGACCCTGTGCAAGCCCTTGCGCCAATCTTGTAATGGTCACAAAAATAGAGCCCAGAATGTTTTGAATCTTCCTCATGACAAAACCAAACGAAATATAAAATCCATGCAACATTCGTGAGAATGATGCAAAGTGTGAAAAAGTGCGGATGTGCTAATTTTCAAAATTCTGAAAAAAAAAAAGACTGACTCAGATGAGTTTTAAAAAGTTGGTAATTGAGTACACTCATTGGGTGAAGGGAAGAAAATGAATATGCAAGTCAATGGGGGAGTTGTGTGGCTTTTGTTCATTTACTGCATTTATCGCACTCCTACAAGGCTAAAATCATCTCATCACAATACAAATGGATGTGCATTATTTGAAAAGCACCGCATAGTGCTATGAAAAGCACGATGGTCATGATCTAAAGCATTACACTTAGGAAATGATTTCATCTTTTTGAGTGTCTGACATCATGTTCAGGGTGGGGCTTTTGGATTTTGGAGCCATTATGGTCCTAATTGCCATTGGCGTGAGTGTTGATGAATATGAAATCCATTATAGGCAGAGGTTTCATTCTCCGTAGAGAGTGTAATTTTGTCCCTAAGAGAGACTTTGAGTGATACTAAATTTGCAAATAAATAATTGAGAGACCCGACTGAAGGGTAAATGACCTCTAGGAGTGTGGACAATGAGATGTGAATGCGTTGACTGTGTGTTCTGTTTAAATCTGCCAATCCTTATTTAATAGAAGACATAAACAGTATGCTCCCAATGTTTATTATTCTGTCAAACATTCAATTGCTTGTCTTCTGCTCAGTCTTCGCCAGCTACACTATTCTTTCTTAACACGGCCACCCAGGTCACCTTCATTCTGCTTTTCGGCAGTTTTTTTTTTTGTGGACTCTGGCCAATCATTTATGTATCTGGCAATGGAAGTGCACATCCAAATACTGCCACTCAAAGTTATTACACAAATGCAATTTTGCTCTTAATGGAGTGCTTGATAGTAATGCCGAGGGCATACGTATATGATTTATTCATTACTCTGCCACTTTTAGGGTGCTTCTATTGAGAACTTGATGGAAGGTATGACAGCACTTCTGTAAAAAAAAAAGGCTTGGTATGATTGAGAGTGCTAAAGTGGCTAAGTGGACCCAGGAGAGTGTTTCCTGCTTTTTATTTCTGAAGGGTTTTTTTTTTTTTTGGGTATTATTCCTTCTTCCTGTGATTGAGTGTGAGATGGGACTTTCCATTGTGTAACATGTCAGATATCCCATTCTACGCGTATCCAAAGAAATCCCTATTAAACAAATCCACACTGTCAATCAATGTCTTAGTTTCAAACCACAGTGCATAGTGAGCA